CCCGCAGCGGCTCGCAGCCGGCCCCCGGGGCCCGCGGTCGCCCGGCGGGCGCCTTCGCCTCCGCGCCCGGCCGGAGGCAGCGCCGTCCTCCTCCGGGGCTGCTCGCGCCGCCGCCCCGAGCCCGGCGGAGCGCGGCTGGCGGGGCCGCTGCGGGGGCCATGACCGTGGAGCAGAATGTGCTGCAGCAGAGCGCGGCGCAGAAGGTGAGGCGCCGCTCCTCGACGGGCCGCGCGGCCTCCCGCCTGGCCCGGCCACCCCGGCCGTCGCGTTCGGAGCGCGGGGCCGCGCGAGGAGCCGGCGGTGGAGCGAGGGGCTCCGCGTCCACTCCCCTCTGCGGACTGCTCTCCCCTAACCGACGGCCGCGTCCCCGGAGTGACCCCCGCTTTCCTCCAGAGCTCGGCCAGGCTCTGGAAGGAAACTTTCTTCTCCTTCGCTTCCCTTTCCAGTTCCCTGGCTTCCCTAGGAATGTCACTTGTCACCCGGTTTGGACAGTTTCTCTTTCCGAGGTGCCGTTATTTCAGGCCTGTTGTTTCGCCAAAAAACACCCTCCCCGAACGAGTTACCTGTCTTCCAGGGCAGGTACACGTACCCGGGGTGGACTCTGTGCAAGCAGAGGGCTTGGTTGGCTATGTTTTCCCTTTTTCTCCTAAATACAGAAACTGTCTCTCACGTAAGGGTACCTCTATGGCTGTATTCAAATCTTTTGTCCCCTAAGTTTGACCTTGCTTTCTCGTTCCTTTACCCTTTACTCTTGAATCAATCACACATTCACTTAGGGGGATCATCGCATCTTGTTTTTAGTTCAGCATCTCGCTATTCTAGATTTCACTGTAAGAGTTCTGTTTTTTTTTTTTTTAATGCTCCATCCTCGCTTGTTTCAAGCCCTGAAGAGTAGTTGGTCATGACTTCTACTCTCCATTCTTTCCCCTCCCCCCTTCACTGGTGTGAAAAGCATTTTGAGCACAAGGAAACGTTGGCTTAGTCCTATTCTAATTGTAGAAGCAATTAGGTTTACAGTGAACGGCCAAAGAAAGCGCCTTCTTTGGCTCATCCGAGTAATGGATGCCACACCCTGTTGTAGTTTGACACAGAACTTGCAGTCTACCTGTGCTTTTATTTAAAGTAAGGCCTGCTGTACTAAAATAAACCTGCAAACATACATGTCAACAGCCCGTTATTTTATTTGTTTATTTTTCTCTGAGAATAGTTTTAGGATTTGATGTTATGAGATAACTAAAGATGTCAGAGAATTTTGGAAAGCGACGATAGTGCATTATTTTAGGTACTTTTCTTAGAGTTGTTTTTGACGTCCGTTTCAGTTGTTATGTGGACATTGTGAAGATTACTGCAGACTCTAATGTATTTGTGGAAAAAGAGTTCAAGGCTAATAGAGGAGAAAACAGCTTCTCTCCTAATTCTGTATGCTGTATCTTGAACACTATACCCTTTAGGTTTTGATGGTGACTATGTACTGGAGTTTTGACAGGAAGGTCATGCGATCTTAGCAATAGACTCAGCGCTTTGTGTATACTTGTTTTTAATTTTAAAACTTCTTTGTTTCAAAGTGGGAAATGTTGCTATGTTTTTGCTTCAATCTTAAACTTGAAAATTGCCAGGAATCTATTTAGTTTGTGGTTTTTGTAGTTGTTTGTTTTGACTAAACTGCTTCTTTGCATAGAGATAACTATTGTGATGTCTCAGAACTCTGTATAAAACTGTAGAATCAAGAATCAAATTACTGAAAATGATCTCGGTTATCCAGTCTAATATTGTGGTTTAATGAGCTTCCTCTCCCAAAAAAGAATATTCACTAATTCAGAATATTCATGTTATGATGCTGTTCTTAACATGTGTTAAGTATGTTTGATCATTTCATTGCTAATAGGGATTTTTTTAAGAGCAGCATAATATATTTTTATACATCTACCACGTTTACTATTAATGGTGTTGGGGATTGAACTCAGCGCCATGCATGCTAGGCAAGAGTTCTACCAACTGAACTACAGTTGTAGTTTCTGAAATATGTTTCTTTCCATTGTTACTTTGTTACGAGCATTAGAACCTGTTCAGACAATATGGTTATGAATGCTTGAAACAATCAAATTCAAAGTTGAAGTTTTAAAATTATGCTAGAAACTAGCAAGTGTGTTTCCTCCTAAGGAGTAGGAAGTGAACTCCATATTTAAGAAGAAACAAAAGTGAAACTGATTTCATTTAGAAGCATCATAGACTGTCAGGAAAAGGCGGGGTATCTGGAGTGTACTGCTGTGTAGACAGAATGGGGTACAGGTCTGCTGACAAATTTTAAGTAACTATCTATTATTGTACCTGTTGGAATGATTTTCTATGTTTTCAACCCCCACACACCCCTTAATGTAAAGAGCTGTAAGACTGGGATTTTTTTTTTAAAGCAACAGTACACAAAACCTCAGGTGTTTTGTTTACCAACTAAGTAAGTTGTGACAATGTAATATGAAGAGAAAGGGTCCTGTGTTCTTCCCTTCTCTAGTCTCTGCTTAATTGCTGAAGTTTGCTCTAGCCAGGGAGTTAGGAAATTGGAACACTGCAGAGAGAGCAGATTTTCTTATGTTGGGATGCTACAGGTGAGGGTTTGGCAGAACAGGGAGTACAGCTAAACCTGCCATTATTTTGTTCTTGGACCTGTCTCTTCATCCTGTATGCTTGACATTTACCTAGGTGGAGGATCTTTTGTATCTTAGGAGAAATGGGATAAATAAATCAGTTTCCAAATGCAGGTTCTTTAGGGAAGGATTGGAAACTTCCTCCCAGGAACCAAGGTGAGCAAGAAACACTTTACTTGTAAGTGTCCTGGTGAGTGAGTTACCTGTACTGTTGCACAATAGGGATTGGAATTGTTCTTGCCACATATAGACTCAGTAAATATTTGACAAATGAATGTGTAAGTGAATAGTTCTTAGAAGGAAAGCAAGGATGGTGAATACTAAGAATCCTAGTTAAAAATTGACTTTCAGTTGAGAAACACCGAAAGTCTGAAAAAGGATCCAAGGTAGGAACTATGTAGAATAAAAAAGACAGGGTGTGGGTTAGATCTAAAGCACCCTTTTTGGGAAACTCATTAAATGTCTCCAAGTCTTCTTGAAAAGCTTTAAACTGTGTGTAGACATGAGAAACTTCTTCAGATCTTAGTGTTTAGTGGTGCTAAGCAACCAATTATTATTTTTTAAATATAGTGTTGAGGATATGTAGAGGCACAGATATCGTCTTCAATTGAAACGATAAACAGACTATTCAAAAAGTGCTATCAGTTTGTTCACTCTGTTCATAAATTAAAAAAAGAACAGTTGTCAGAAAAAGGATTATTTATTTTGCCATAAGATAAATGCTAATTATCTAGGTATGCCCATCACTGAAAAAGCTGGGCTAGAAAGATTCTCTCTCCTTTTCTCTTCCTCTCTGAGTGCTGGGATTACAGGCTTGCACCACTGCACCCAGCCGGAAGAGAGAAGGGGTGGAAGGAAGAAAAGGGAAAAAGATGTTTATAAATATCTATAATGGTTAAGAATCATATTTTCTAAACACAGCACACCACAATTCAAAACCAGAAAAGCAGCTCACCAGAATTACCATCTTGGGGACTGGAAAGCTAGATCAGTCTGTAAAATGCTTCCTATCCAAATGTGAGATTCTGTGTTGGATCTCCAGCACCCATGTAGAAGCCTAACACAGCACTGGGGAGAGAGACAAGATGGATCCCTGTAGCTCACTGGTTCATCCTGCTAGAAGAGTCTCCAAGTCTAGGGTAGAAAGCAATTAAGGAACCCATCCAGCATTGTCCACTGGCTTCCCGATACACAGGCGTGTATGTACATATGTGTGTTTGCATGCCGGCACATGTTTGTCCTGGCAAGTATTTGAAGGTCAGAGGACAACTTTGAAGTCAGCTCTCCCCTTTCACCTTTGCAAGGGGTTCTGGCAATCAGATTCAGGTCCCCTGGCTTGCTCTTACTTGTTTAGCCATCCACCTGGCCCATTGCTTCTTTGATCATAGTTCAGACAGTCGTTCTGTCTCTGGGCAAAAGTGATAAGCATTCAGCAGAAACTGGATTTTGAGTTCTTCCCCAGGCTAGGAATTTGCTGTCGGGATATGGCTGTCTTGCAATGTGGGGCAGCAGCAGTGAACCATAGCTCACTGTCTGTCACTCAAAAGGAAATGAGTGACTTTATGGAGTGCCTTTTGGATACAGATATTAAGTTTTGTGAGATGTTCAGAACTGTATAGTAAATAAGCTTTAAACAGGGTGCTTTCTTTTTGAGTATGCTAAGCTATGATTTGGGGCTGGTCAGTTTTGGCTGGTCTTGGTTTTCACATAGAACCATAGATTTTTTTTTTCTTTCTTGTGAGAGTCTATCCTCTTTTTGCCTTCAAATTGTTTTTGAGCTCCAAATGCCTTCCATATTTCAGGTTGTTTTTATATACATAAACTGACAGTGAAATAGATTTATTTGTCATCAAGTCGTTGAGTAGACATACATATTTGTATTTGTTTTGGGTAAATACATAGGAGTAGAATTATTAAAATATATACAGACTGTCATACAATCTTTCAGCTGTCTATGAGAAGTCCAGTTGGGTTACAATTTCTTCAAGATTTGGTCTTGTTAGTCTTGTTTTAGCTATTTTTAGTGTTAGAGTGGGAGCTCATCTTAGTTTGTATTTCTGTAATGATTAACGGATTTTGAGGTCTTCTTTTGCTGATTATATTTTGGATGACTTTTAAATATTGCCTTGCCTATAGTACCCAGTTTTCCATTGACACAGAGTGGTGATAACAAAAGCTGACTTTTTCTTAATTGAAATGATAAATGATGCTTTTAAAGTTAAATACTGCACATAGGTATGTTTGTAAATGAAGTCACATAACCATTTTATTTCCTAAAGGACCATCTGATAAAAAAGGTCCATTGCTGAAAACTAGTTCATTTTCCTTTTCTGCCTCAAATCAAACATTCAATTTATCTCTTTAGTAATTGATTGCACACACACTGTAGAACTCTTCATAGTGCATATTTTATTACCAGTGTATAAAATATTTTCATGGTGTATGTATTGCCACATGTGTGCAATCTCAGGACCAGTCTAGGCTGCATAGTCAAATCCTCGCTTAAACTATGCTATCAAAAACAAACAAACAAAGCATTTTACATAATTTATTTGGTGTAG